GCGTATGTACAGTGGGGGTTTGTGTGTATGCGTGTGTGCTCATTTCTTCTTGTGTCCCCGGCCCCTTCCTTGTGGCGTCCACTCTCTTACCTGGTAATGCAGTTATTCCTGAGAGAAGCCCTCTGTGCCCCCACAGACTCTCAGAGATGCTTGTGGAATGCGGCGCTTTGGGAAGAGCCATGCGTCCCAGGTGCAAGCTATCTGCATCCTGTACAGAGAGCCTGTCTCCTCACCATCCTCGCTCCTCCTGTCAGCCACAGGCTGGGGGTGGGGGTGCAGCAGGCCCCAGACTTATCTTCCTTTTAGACTCCCAATCCACAACTTAGCTTGAGGTTCTGAGTTCAGGGGCTCCCTCCTTCCCAGTACCATTTGTTAGCGCCCCCATAGCCACGGGTCTTCTTACCTGGGAGTACTGCTATGCTCTTCTGAACCCAGGTGGGGACCTGTGTGCCTGCTGGCCTGCTTCTCTGTGCTGGAGCCCAATTTCCTCACCCTTGGGGGGCCCTGCTCACCCCTTTGCCTCTGTGGACCCCTCTGCTCCTTCGAACCCCATCCTGCCCTAATGATCAGTTCAGGTCATCAGATGCTGTCCTAGAGAATCTCTCCCCTTGCGCGAACGTCCCGACACGTCTCATACAGTTCAAGGAGCCTGGCTGGCAGTCAGACCCACCGGCGGCTGCAAGGGAGAAAGAGGAGGCTGTGTGCTCCTGTAAAGAGCTGTGGTCTCCGAAGCCCATGGGCAGCCCACCCCGCCATACAGAGCTGTTAGGCGTTGGAATCAGCTCTGGGGGGTGGGGTGGGGCTCCACAACTCAGAGGAGAGACTAGGTGGCATGAGCGATGAAGTGCTCAATGGCTCGCCAAAAGGCTGGCCGTTTTGACCCACCCAGAGGCACCTTGGAAGAAAGGCCTGTGATCGATCCACATCTGAAGACCCTGTGGAGCAGAGTTCTCGTGGACTCAGGGTCTCCGGGAGTCAGGGCAGGACGGCCGCGGGCTGTGTGTCCAGCGATGGGCTAAGTACTTTTCTGGGGTACAAGTTGATGGCAGTGAGGTGTACAGAAGGAGCCCTGGTGGTGCAGCGTGGGAGGAGGATGGGGTCCTTACGAGTCAGCGCTGACTCGACGGCAGGGTGGTTTTCCATCAGTCCACTGCTCGCCGGGGCTTCATGGAACGCTGCCAGCTCGCAGGTCCTGGAGGACGCGCGTGCGCACTCTCACCGGGGCCCTCCTTCGCCCCCCACGAGCTTCCCCTGGATGAGAAAGCCGAGCCGTGGAGGGGGTGGCAGCACGCTCAATGCCACTCAAGTGGCCTAGCGCCCATCTGAGAACCAAACAGCTGCTCCCTGGCCGGGCCCCAGCGGCCTTTGTAGAAAACACTCAGCGTTGGGTCAAAGCAGCCTGCGAGCGACAGGCCGGCTGTGTTTGGGGGGAGAGGTGAGGGGTGTCTCTCCCTCCTCCCCATTGGCCTCTGCCACCTGGGAAAGACACCACCACATAGAAACATAGCCTTTATTGCACACGGTCTTTTTTCATAGAAAAAGGTATTAACACATAAGCATTTGCAAATCGAAGCAGCTCCCGCTTTTCTTGGACAGTAAAATCGCATGCAGTTGTCTCTGAGTTGGGACCTCGGTCTTTGTCAAAACCGCCGAGGTGGACGGCGAGGGGGCCGCGGGGGCAGAGCTGCTGGGTCTCTGTGGCTCTTCCTTAGACGCGGGTGAGAGAGATATATAGATATATAGCTCGTGGGTGGCCCTGCCTCTCTATATACGTATATATGTCTCCACACGCATTTTGTGGGTGGTGGTGGGGCAGCGGTGGGGGATGGTGGTAGGGTGGACTTGTACGGTCAAATTCTTTGTGCCCTGGCTTCATGGAGAAGAAAATAGTGTCATTTGTACAAAAGAGTTCTATGTACAGGCGTTCATGACTTGGGAGGGGCGTCTCTCGCTGCCGTTGGTTTGTGTCTGTCTGTCTGACAGGAGCAGCGTGGGGGGACGGCCCAGGGGGAGCGGGAGGCCCGAGGTGCCCCTACACCAGGGTGTAGGACTTGGAATAGGCCCCAGCCCCCTGCTTCTGAGACCTTCCCACCCCCGACGTGCTCATCTCCAGAAGCGAGTCCCTCGAACCTCCCATTTTGGTGTGTGGGCCCCCTGCCCGCGGAGGCTCAGTGCTGGGGGCCGGAGGGGCGGTACTGGGGGCAGTCTGGGGCTCAGAGGGAGTGAGGCCAGGTGCTGGGGGGGCTGTGCCGGCTGGCGGGGCTGGCATGGCCAGAGTCCTCTGAGGTAAGGTGGCTGTGGAGGCTCCGGTGGGGGCCCCGGGGTGCGGGAGGCCCAAGGGCTTGCTGGCAGGGTCCAGGGTCAGATGGCGAGCCTGCGGGTGGTAGGTTCGCGCCACGTTCCGGATGGAGGCCTCTCGGGGCGGGACCACAGGGCAGGGCTCTCGGCCCTCGGACTTGCGGAAGAAGGCCTCCGACTTGGCGTACAGCGGCAGGTTGCAGTAGTCACCTGCAAGCAGAGAGGGAGGGCCCGAGAGGCTCGTTTCCCTGCGCCCCGACTCGTGCTGGCCTCGCTAAGCCCCAGGTTCCAAACTCTCTGTGAAGCCTATGACGGATGGCCCCACGGAGAACAGATAGAGATGCTGCCCGGTCTGGGATGGCCAATGACGGTGGTTCATCAGACCTGGGTGATCCACGGGGCTTTCTTAGGCAGGTATTTGGAAGTAGACCACCAGGTCTTTCTTCCTGGTTTGCCTTGGTCTAGAACAGTGGTTCTCCACCTTCCTAATGCCGCGACCCTTTAATGCAATTCCTCATGTGGTGGTGACCTCCCCTCCACCATAAGATTATTTTCGTTACTACTTCATCACTGTAATGTTGCTACTGTGATGAATCAGACGACCCCTGTGAAAGGGTTGTTCGACCCCCAAAGGGGTCTCGACCCACAGGTTGAGAACCGCTGGTCTAGAAGCTGTGCTGCAACCTTTGCAGCATCTCGGCAGCTCGTAAGCCTCCACTTGTAGGGATTCCAACCCGGGGCTTCTCGTGGAAGGTGCTATGTGCCCCGACCCACCGCTGTCCCCACCTGGGACACGGGGACAATCTTCCCTCCAGGGTTCTTGTGAGGCGTGAAGGAGCTAACTGTGATGTACCACCGGGTACGGACGGGCACATAAACTGATACTTATTATCAACGGATGCTGCTGATTCAGCGATCCCCGGCCTACTCCCCGGACAGGTGATGGAGAGCTCGCTCCGCTTAAAGACGAGGCCTTCCTGACTCACCTGGCTATTCCCCAGAAGAAAATGGACAGGAGGGGCTTCAAACAATGGGCGTAAAGAGAATGGGCTTGTTCTTCATGCATAGTTTGAAGCCCCTTGGTATGCATTCTACAGTCTGTGTGTATGCCTGGGGGTGCAGTGGTTTAAGGGCTGGGCTGTGAATCTTAAGGTGAGCAGTTTGAATCCACCAACCGCCCGAAGGGAGAGAAAGGAGGCTGTCTGCTCCTGTGACGATGGTCAGCCTTGGGAACCCGGTCCTGCAGGGTCACGATGAGTTGGGATTGACTTGACGGCAGTGGATCAGGAGGGGGCCTCAAACGTGTGTGGGAAATAGAATGGAAAGATGGAGGTGGCGGCTGCCATGAACTTTTGGAAGCCCCTCCATACGTCATATATGTTTGTCTGCATGTAGATAATACATGCCCATATATGAGCTTGAGAAAGTTTTGAAAACTGGGTGAGAAGGTACTGGAACTTCCCCAGGTGCCCCTGAAGCCCCCTTGCTTGACTCCTGGCATCCCACCTCCCGTTGGACCTGATTATGTCCAATCGGGCCCCTCCCTCCCACGGCTCCCTTCCCTGGGGCCCCTTTCCCCCAGTGGGACATCCTACTACATCCCTACTTTCTAACACATGGCATGTTTCTAAGCCAGGATGGGGACTTGACCTGCTTGTCCTGGGAGCCAGGCTGGGCTGGCAGAGCCCGCTGGGCAGCTGAGGACTCACTCTTGTTGGCCCGATGAGGGATGGGCACCGCCACATTCTTGCCGCGGTCGGCGTCCTGGGGCTTGGGCGGGGAGGCGGTGAAGCGGCAGATGCCGGGCTCCGAGGGCGTGCTCATGGACGTCATGCTGTCGGCGTTCTCGTTGGTGCCCGTGGTCATCTGGTCCGAGGAACTGTCTGAGATGAAGCACTCGGTGATCTCGAACTTGGCGTGCTGCAGCTGCTCCTCCAGTTTGGCGTGCTCGTAGGCGCGGGCCAGCTCTTCGTAGGTGGAGGAGGCGCTCTCTGTGGACACCATGCTGTTGCGGCCTTTGTCTGGGGAGGCCGGAGGCATGGAGAGAGGAGGGGCGTGGATTAGGGGGCCACAGGCACGCCAGACCAGACGCAGCACTGCCACACTGCCGCCACCCCTGGCCTGGCAGCCATCTGAGAGCCTGGTCTCAGAGGGGCGACAACTGCAGGAAGCACCGGGTTCAGGAGGCGCTGCCCTCCTGTGAGGGTGGCCGTGGTGGCAGAAGTGGGTCTTTGGCCAAGAGGGGCGAGAACATCTTTCTTTCACTATTGAGCGTGGGCAACCACCCCGGGTCCGAGTGGCTGCTCCTCCAACAAATGCCAGACGCACGGCTTTCCTGGGGGACAGCAGGCGAGACCCTTGACCCAGCCAAGTTGGGAGGCCAAGTGTCTCCATCGGAGCCACACGGGGTGCGTGGCAAGTGGGATGAAAGTCCCTTGGGCTTGGAACGAGGAGATGGCGGTGATAGGTGACAGGGGCAGGGAGAGGCTGGCTGGGCAGCATGCAGGCGGGGTCTGGGGCTCACCCGTGTCTTGCGAGAGACTGGCACTATAACTGTCGCTCTCAGTGACCGTGACCCCATGCTGGGAGCCAACGGTGCGCCAGTCCGAGGTGAGGGTGCGGGCGGGCGTGGAGGCCTGGCACTTGGTAAGGGTCCACTGGCTTGAGTACCGGTTCCGGGTGCTGTGAGCTGACTTCACGTTCTTTCTAGACACTGGGTCTGCGCAGAGGGGGTGGGACCCTCAGACAAGAAGGAGCAGCTGGCACCTACCAGACCGTGGCTGCCACAGCCACCCTGCCCCCTCAAACCTGAGTAGGCTGTTGTTCCTGCCCACACAGCAGCCCCAGGGAAAAGGGCAAGAGTGGAAGCATGGGGACCGTGGGTGGCACCTGCTCCTCTCCACCCACTCTCCATTCTCCTCCCCCCACCCAGCGGGAGTGTGTGGCCTCCTCTCTTGATGCCCTCCAGGTGGTCCCCTTCCTTACTCCCCATTGTCCTGGCTAGTCCTAGGCCCATGTGCAGAGTCAGTCATAGTGCTAGAGACCGGGGTCCTTGGGGAAAGAGACACCCAGCGCTCTCCAAACGTACCAAAAACAGAGGCCCAGAGAAAGAAGGTGAGTGTGTGTGTGTGTGTATGTGTATGGGGGCCCACAGTGCCAGCCATCGGGTCTGTAGACGGGAATGCCAGAACTCTGTCCACCCCGCATGCTGCTCTTTATTCTTCCTGCAACCTCTGCCTAGCCCCAGCTCTCGCGCGCAGTAGGCGTACTGGTCCCCGGCCGGATGTCGGACATGTCGATGAGCGGGCCTGTGCTCTGGATGAGAGCTGGGTGGTGCAGAGAGACGCCAGTGCAGAAGCTCTGGGGGTTGACAGCTTGGCTGAACTCGGCATCCGTCACGGGGATGGTGGCCTTGTCATCTCCTGGGGGAGGAAGGGCAGTCACTGGGAGTCCCTTCATGCACCATCTTTACCCTCCGCCCCGCCGCCCCCTCATGGCCCTGTCTTGATCCAACACGGAGAACCAGCTAGACCAGGCTCATCACCCTGCTTCCAGAGAGGAGGAAACTCAGTCCTTGAATGAGGCCAGAGGGAGAGGTGATGCTGTGAACTGTGGATGGGGGACTGGCCAGGGGAGGTACCCCAGGGTGGGCAGCGAGCCTGGCTGTCTCTACTCACCCAGCTGCTTGATGCCCTCCTTGTCCTCGATGAGCAGCTGGACTCTGGGGATGTCGATGTGCAGGCGAGGGCCTTGGGGGGGCCCCTTCACAGGGGTGTCGAAGCTTCGGTTGTTCTTGCTGGGAGGAGAAGGGCTGGGTGGGAGGGCTCTGCAGGACAGTGGGGATGCAGAAGCTCGCCCCTAATTTGGGAGTGCAGAGGGAGGTATCTTGCAGGAGGGAGGGGAGGCAGAGGAAGCGGCTGGGGGGCACCTACCTTATCAACATCTCTGCCAGACTCTTTGCATCTGCAAGACAGGAAAGAGAGAGAGGGAGGCGAGGTCAGAATGCAGACGGGAACTGGGTGAGGTGTAGGAACAAGGTGGGAAGAGTTTCTAAAATGGCCACCTGGGAGGCAGAGGAGGAGATGCAAGGACCCCAGATAGTCCAAAACTCGATGAGCCTCACTGCTCCCAGTGTGGCTCAGGCCCAGTTTCCTGTCCTCAACTTTTACCCAACAGGGAGGCTATCCCCAAGGGGAGGAGCCAGAGTATGTGCTCCAGTGTCCTGAATCGACTCTCATTGAACAGGCACTGCGGCGGATGCTGGGACAAGCCTTTGTGGAGGTCTGTCCACAGTTATCTGTCTGAGGGAGAGAGAGGGGGGTGCACACTTGAGTGGGAGACAGCGAGCCAATGGGCAGCCCAGGAGACTTCCTCCTCCAGCGCAACGGTCCCTCCAAATTCCAGAGATGGATTTAGGATGCCTTGCTTTGTCAGAGAGAGATTTTGAATGGGATCAGGCTCACAGGTTAGGGATTGAGGGAGAAGAAGTAAAGGGACCTGATTACTCTGTTCAACCCCTGATAATGAAGACTGATCTTTCAGAGTGAATTTTGATAGATGCATGCAACCATTTAAACATTCCCCCACTCACTCATCCATCTACTCATATACCAACCCATCCACCCTCCAACCCATCCATCCATCCATCCATCCATCCATCCATCCATCCATCCATCCATCCATCCATCCAAACATCTTCCCACTCATCCATCTAACCA